AAAATGTATGTCCGTGTGTTCGTTTTTGTGCTATGTTCGGTCAAAGATACCAATTTAACACAACATGTGATTTTAGGTGATTTTTTGGGTTTTGACCATTTGCAGAACAAATTCATACAATTTCTTCCAAGTGTGTTATCAGATATGTATGAATGTTTGTATAATTAATGAAATTATTATTTTAGCTACCCCTACCCCCTATTTTTTAATGAAAAAATACTCATTTTTTACCATTTTTTTGCAGATTAAATGCTTGATATAAAAAGTTCTGGTATTAATTAGCAGAGAGACAGTGGTGACGGACCAAATTAACTGTTCAACAACAGATTTATAGAGAGCAATGTCGGCTAGTTGGTTCACTACTCTTTCAGTCAAAGAAGGCTTATTATTCGGAAAGAATCGAAGAATGCAGCAAGGATAATAGACAGCTTTTTAGACTCACCAAAAACCTAATGGGACAGAAAGGTGAAATTATCCAACCAAGCTGTAATTCTGAAAAAGACTTAGCAAGCAAGTTCAGTGATTACTTTCTGAATAAAATCAGCTCAATCAGGAAAAATATTGCTGAAGTGAACACCTCTGCTGACATTGCCATCTCTGTCATGACTGCTGACATTGCATTTGATGGGGAACCATTGGCAAAGCTCTTACCAACAACCCAGGACGAGTTGTGCAACATTATCATGACCTCGCAATCGAAGTCCTGTGAGCTTAGTGATCCACTGCCTACAGACCTATTAAAGCAATGTCTTGAATCACTGCTTCCTTTGATTACCTCAATCATGAACAAATCATTGGCTGAGTCAAATGTTCCATTATGTTTCAAGAAGGCATATGTCAGACCATTGTTAAAGAAGCATGGAATGGACAAGGAGGAGTTGAAAAACTACCGCCCAGTTTCAAATCTGCCTTTTCTGTCTAAGATCTTGGAGAAGGTTGTGTCCCGGCGTTTAGAGGTTCATCTCCATGCAAACAGTCTCCATGACAACATGCAATCGGCCTACCGTATGGGACACTCTACTGAGACCGCCCTCCTACGTGTACATAATGATATAGCTTCTGCATTGGATAACAAGTGCAGAATGGTGCTTGTCATGCTGGACTTGTCAGCTGCATTTGACGTCATCGACCATGGCATACTTTATAAACGTCTGGAATACTCTTATGGAGTGACTGATACGCACTATGCTGGATACAGTCTTACCTGAGTGAAACACGACAGTGTGTTGCCATCGGATCTTCCACCTCACATGAAAAAGTACTAGATTTCGGGGTTCCTCAAGGGTCAGTGTTAGGACCACGAAAATATTGTATGTACTCCAAACCGATTGGAGAGATTTGTCATCGCCATAACCTTCGCTATCATTGCTATGCTGATCATGATGACACACAAATTTACATGGTCATCAACCCACAGGACAGTTGGAATACAGTCTCAGACAGTCTGGAAGCTTGTCTAACAGATATCAGTATCTGAATGAACGCCAACATGCTTAAGCTTAATCAGGAAAAGACGGAACTAATCGTCTTTTCCCCAAAGTGTCAGCAAACAATGGCTCTACAGCTCAAGGTCGGTGCCAGAACTATTGAGACTGCTCCAGCTGTTAAAAACCTAGTGGTATACTTTGAAAGTTTGCTGAACATGGAGAAACAAGTGAAGGCTTTTGCAAAATCCTGGGTTATGGCCCCTTGAATAATGAAAAAACGTCATTATCTGCCGCGCTTCGTTTCCGTGCAATAACTACAACAAATGTTAAATGATTTTCTTCAAACTTGGTCACACTTATGGGTTCAATGCCTTAAGGGCTCGGCCAAGTTCGATGACCACTTTCAGCGGACCACATTTGGCAGAGTTATGGCCCCTTGAATAACGAAAAACGTAATTATCTGCGTGGTTTTGTTTCTGTGCAATAACTGTAACAAATGTTAACCGATTTTCTTCAAACTTGGTTTGATTTTGATGAAAATTGGTACATGTATATACGGATATTAGGGAACTGCGAATTCAACTGCATATGTTTGGTTGCCATAGCTTCCACACGGAGGCTTCTGATTGGTCGAAATTTAGATATTTTGTTATTTTTATGAAAATTGGTATATAGGGATATTAGGGGACTGCAGCTAAAACCGCATAGGTTTCAGTGCCATAGCAACCACACAAAGGCTTCTGATTGGTTGAAATTTAGATATTTTGTTATTTTTATGAGAATTGGTATATAGGGGTATTAGGGATCCCGACTGCAAATTCAATCGCATACGTTCCATTGTCATAGCAAATACACAGATGATTCTGATTGGTTGCAATTTAGAAATTTAATTTCACTCAAATTTAGTATGTACATTGTAGGTGTACTATGGCAATGCGATCCTTTTCTGATGCATCTTTGCGACTATGGGGGCAGTTTGTGGGACATCTGTAATGGTCCCCCCATTACAATTAGTACTTGTTGCTGTAGATATTGTTAAGATGTTTCAACCAAATTCCTTATGCACATTCAACTCATGCTAAGTTTGCCAACCGATGTGATTTGTGCATATTTACGGATAATCAATGAGGTATAGGGCTTTTTTTCTTCAAGTTTCAAGTTATACATTCTGTCTCAACAACACGATACTCACATGTTTAAACCTTACCTCAATAATGTTAACCTACAATATGTCCTGCAAGCGGGGGATATAAATTCCACAAATTTGCTTGTTTTTTTTACCTTTTTCAGTGTCAAATATCAAAAGTGCTTCAGTTACACTAAATACGTTGGTTTTTTTATCAATAATGTATAATTTTCCAGTTTGTTGGTTTGTTGCATATTATCAGCTCACCTGGTCCGAAGGACCAAGGTGAGCTTATGCCATACCGTTGCGTCCGTCGTCCGTCCGTCCGTCCGTCCGTCCGTCCGTCCGTCCGTCTGTTCGTACGTCAACAATTTCTTTAAACGACTTCTTCTTCTTAATCACTGATTGGAATTCAACTAAATTTGACTGGAAGCATCCCTAAGTGGTGGGGATTAAAACTTGTACAAATGGTGGGGCTGACCCCCCAGGGGGCTGAGGGGTGGGGCCAAAAGGGGTCAATTTGGCTATATTGCTTTAAGCGACTTCTTCCTGGAAATAAGTAGTGGATATCAACCATATTTGATTGGAAGCATCCCTAGGTGGTGGGGATTCAAAATTGTACAAATGGTGGGGCTGACCCCCCAGGGGGCTGAGGGGGGGGGGGAAAAGGGGGCAATTTGGCTATATTGCTGCAAACGACTTCCTCTCTGGAACTAAGAAGTGGATATCAACCATATTTGACTGAAAGCATCCCTAGGTGGTGGGGATTCAAAATTGTACAATTGATGGGGCTGACCCCCCAGGGGGCTGAGGGGTGGGGGGAAAAGGGGGCAATTTGGCTATATTGCTACAAACGACTTCCTCTCTGGAACTAAGAAGTGGATATCAACCATATTTGACTGAAAGCATCCCTAGGTGGTGGGGATTCAAAATTGTACAAATGGTGGGGCTGAGGGCGGGGCCAAAAAGGGGGCAATTTGGCTATATTGCTATAAATGACTTCTTCTGTAGAACTATGCCATGGATATTGATCATATTTGGTCGGAAGCATGCATGGGAGGCAGGGATTCAAAATTGTACAAATGGTGGAGCTGACCCACCGGGCTAAGGGGTGGGGCCAAAAAAGTGTATTACTTGGAAATGGTTGAGATCCCCACCATATAACCATGGTATACAATTGCTGAGTATAAAGAGAAGAATGCACATTTGCTTCCAGGATGGCTATAGGGTCTGGCCCCACCCTTGGAGACATAGTCCCTGGGCAATAACTTTAAAACTGTTGAGATTCCCACCCCAAAACTATATATATACAAATGCTGGGCATAAAAAGACGAATGCAGTCCTGATATCAGGATAGACCCTAGGGTCTGACTGAACCCCTAGGGACCTAGTTTGTTAGTCACAGCTTGGAAACAGTTGAGAGCCCCACCCTATAACGGTATATACAATTGCTGAGTATAAAGAGATGGTTGCACATATGCTTCCAGGATGGCCTTGGGGACTGCCCCACCCTTGGTGACTTAACCCCTGGGTCATAACTTCGAAATGGTTTAGATCCCCACCCCAAAACTATATATACAATTGTTGGGCATAAAAAGACGAATGCAGTCATGATATTAGAATTGACCCCAGGGTCTGCGCCACCCTTGCAATGACAATTTAAGTGATCTAGTGTCAAAAAAGGTGAAATTATTGGCCTTTTTTGAAGCGCAAGAATACACATTAATCGCATTTTCAGAATGGCCACCGAATTGGTAATTTTTTCAAATTCTTGTAAAAAAAAGTTCTACAAACAACAGGCATCTAGTTTTTTGACATATTTCTCAGATGCGTGTTTGCTAATAAACTTGATCATAATTTGTTAAATATTACAAAAACCCATTACACCAGATCAAAACGAGACTTGAATGTGATTGAAACCTCAGAAGAGTACATCCTTAAGACGCCAATTTTCTCAATGCCAAATTTCTCTACTGGGGAAATTTCCATTTTGTACTAGACTACTGTATATCTAGGTGTTTTTTTTAACTATTTGACACTTTAAGGTTATTAATTAATTTTATTCTCTTAGAAAGTAAAATACATTTGTATTTTTATAACATATATTTTCTGTACAAAATTTGTGTTAAAAGTCACAGGAGGATGCAATTACTAGTGACCTTTTAAATAATTCATTTACAGAAAGATAGAAATATCAAGCCAGACAGTATGGTTTCCACATTTGCGTAAAAGATGTGTAAAAATAAAAACAAATCACAAATTTTCCACATGTTTTCCACACTTGCGGAACAACTGCATAATTTGTAGGTAAGGGCGGTAGATCAAACTTGGATTTTAACTAGGGTAGAAAAACATGATCTGTAGGGTCTTGTAATGGTGAATGCCAGAATCCCTCTGGGATCTCTTGTTTCATTTTATTCTCTCTTACTTTTATTTCATTACATTAGTAAACCATGCCAAAGGGTGACAGTAAAGGGAGTAAAGGGAAGGGACCGGCCTGTAGACCTACAGCCCGCCGACCCACAGCCCGCCATCACAACCCTGAATCAGAAGGTAATGTACCAGAGAATATATGTCTTGTTTGAGGAACAGACAGATACAAGTGCAGCCAGTATGATCTTTGTATCAGGAGGTAATGTACCAGAGAATGTGTGTCTTGTTTGAGTAACAGCCGGATACAAGTACAGCCAGTAAGATCTTTATATCAGGAGGTAATGTACAAGAGAATGTATGTCTTGTTTGAGTAATAGCCAGATACAAGTGCAGCCAGTATGATCTTTGTATCAGAAGGTAATGTACCAGGAAATGCAAGTCTTGTTTGAGGAACAGCTAGGTACATGTGCAGCCAGTATGATCTTTGTATCAAGAGGTAATGTATCGGGGAATGTATGTCTTGTTTGCATTGAGGACCATTCAGTTACAAGTACAGCCAGTATGATCTTTGTATCAGGAGGTAATGTACCAGAGCATGCATGTCCTGTTTGAGGCCCAGCCAGATACAAGTGTAGCCAGTATGATCTTTGTTTCAGGAGGTACTGTACCAGAGAATGTATGTCTTGTTTGAGGAACAGCCAGATACAAGTACAGCCTGTATGATCTTCGTATCCGAAGGTAATGTATCAGAGAATGTATGTCTTTTTTGAGGACCAGCCAGATACAAGTGTAGCCAGTATGATCTTTGTATCAGGAGGTAATGTATCAGAAAATGTATGTCTTGTTTGAGGAATATCCAGATACAAGTACAGCCTGTATGATCTTCGTATCAGAAGGTAATGTATCAGAGAATGTATGTCTTGTTTGAGGACCAGCCAGATACAAGGGTAGCCAGTATGATCTTTGTATCAGCAGGTATGTACCAGAGAATGTATGTCTTGATTGAGGACTAGCCAGGTACAAGTACAGCCAGTATGATCTTTGTATGAGGAGGTAATGTATCTGAGAATGTATGTCTTGTTTGAGAAATATCCAGATACAAGTACAGCCTGTATGATATTCGTATCAGAAGGTAATGTATCTGAGAATGTATGTCTTGTTTGAGTAACAGCCAGATACAAGTACAGCCAGTATGATCTTTGTATCAGGAGGTAATGTATCTGAGAATGTATGTCTTGTTTGAGGAACAGCCAGATACAAGTACAGCCAGTATGATCTTTGTATGAGGAGGTAATGTATCTGAGAATGTATGTCTTGTTTGAGGAATATCCAGATACAAGTACAGCCAGTATGATCTTTGTATCAGAAGATAATGTATCAGAAAATGTATGTCTTGTTTGAGGAATATCCAGATACAAGTACAGGTATCGGTGTCAATCAAACTTTCCAAATTTCAAAAATAATTTCCTTGGAACAAAATTTTAAGAATTTATTTCTTTAAGCAATACCTTTAAAAAATGTCTGATTCTGGTATTCTGTAGGGGTGGGTAGTGCAAGCAATTTTATGTTGCAATGTGTCACAATATATTGTGCTCTTAGAAATTTAGTACATTTATAATGATTTGATACATTAGTAGAAATATGTTTAGTAAGTATTAGGTCAGCAATTAATTTGGAAAATTATTTTATTTAGTTTTGGAAGATAATACACACCAAGCATGCTGGGATGAATGACCTTCGTCCATTTTCAAGGTCACAGGAGTCAAAAATGTTGAAATCTTTAAAAAACTTTCTGGTTAACCAAAGGGTCCAGGGTGATGATAATTTGACCAGTGGAATTCTGGAATGAAGGGCTACCAAGTTTGTTCAAATGACCTTGACCCATATTCAAGGTCACAGGGGTCAATTGTCTTATAGAACTCTTTAACAACTTACCCTGGTATTCTGAATGACCAAAAGATCCAGGGTGATGATATTTGGCCAGTAACATATGCTTGGATGTAGGGCTACAAAGGTTGTCCAAATTAATGACATTGACTTATATTCAAGGTTACAGGGGTCAAACATGTTAACCTAAAAATCAACTTCTTCTGAAAAATGGCAGAAGTGATAACATTTAGCCAGTAGCATGCTGGTATAAACGGTTACCAAGGTTGTTCAAATAAACAACCTTTTTCTATGTTCAAGGTCACAGGGTTCAATATACATTCTTGTATAATCAAATCTTTATACAACTTCTTCTGAATGGTGAAAAGACCTAGGGTGATGGAATTTAACCAGTATTATGCAAGGTCACAGAGGTCAATTGGCTTTAAAAAACCCACCATTAAAACAAATCATGAGTAACCAGAGTGATGATATTGAGGCAGTAATTTAATGGGATGAAGGGATTCCAAGATTGTTCAAATGACTGATCGTGACCAATATTCAAGGTCACAGGGTCATATTTACGTTAATAACTTAATAACAACTTCTTCGGAATTAACAAAATGGCTAAGTTGATGATAATAAGCCGGTAGCATGCTGGGATAGAGGGTTAACAAGTTTTTCAAATAAATAACCTTCACCCATATTCAAGGTCACAGGGGGTAAGTTGGCTTGAAAAACCTGAATAGCCAAAAACTCCAGGGTGATGATATTTAGCTAGCAACATGGTTTGTTGAAGTCTATCATGTTTATTCAAATGAATGACCTTCATCTATATTAAAGGTCACAGAGGTTAAGTATGTTAAAATCTTAAGCAACTTCCCCTGAATAACCAAAAGGTAGAGGGTGATGATGTTCAGTCAGTAACATGCTCAGTTGTATAGCTTTTAAGTTTGTTCAAATAAATGAACTTCCACCATAGTCATACTGTACAACATGAAATGTTCGTTGTGTACAAACTTTCATTGTTGCTATAGAAACACGAATATAAAAACAACGAATGATTCTACAACTCGAAAAATATACACAACGAAAATGTAAAAATTATATTTTCAATCAAAAATGTGCACACAAAATTATAAAGATTGTATGACACTATGTGGTTAATCATGATCATGTAAGAACAATGAAGACACGTGTTCCTATTCTAGTTTATACGATTTTACATTTACGTGTGATATTGACACAGCGAATCACAAACGAATATATTAAAATAATTGAACAATTCATTTAAAATAAAGGTATGTTTTTACAGAAATGGACATGTGTTATCAAACTGTTGTAAAAACATCATTTAGTATTGATTAATTAAGTATGTGACCAATCAAGTGAAACGATAGACCTACTAGGCATCTTGAGAACAGGTCAGCACGGTCAATCATGAAGAGCAATCAAGTTTGTTCAAAAGAATGACCTTGACCAACTTTCAAGGTCACATGATCAAATGTGTATACACCATTAAACGACCTCATCTTAATTAACAATTAAAATCAATTGAATGACCTTGTTAGACTTGCAAGATCACAGGGTTCAAATGTGTTGAAATCTTTAAACAGGTTCTTTTGAATAACTTAGAGACATAGATCCTGATATTTTGCCATTAGATTTATTTTAATCCATATTTAAGGTTACAAGTTTTAGATTAATATCAGGTGAGCGAGTGAGCAATGCAGGCCCTTTTGGCCTCTTGTTAGTATATCTCTGAAATATTTTTTTCTTTCCATCCAGTAGATGACACTCCTGAGCAATCACGGCCGAGCAGGATGATCCGACCAAGCACTGCTAGTGTAAGTTTATCACACAGTACTGTCACTCTAGTAGGGAGATATTTATCACCTGGTCTGTGAGTTTATCACACACTGTCACTCTAGTAGGGAGGTATTTAATTTATCACCTGGTCTGTCAGTTTATCACACAGTACTGTCACTCTAGTAGGGAGACATTTATCACCTGGTCTGTAAGTTTATCACACATTGTCACTCTAGTAGGGAGATATTTATCACCTGGTCTGTCAGTTTATCACACAGTACTGTCACTCTAGTAGGGAGATATTTATCACCTGGCATGTCAGTTTTATCTGGCTTGTCCCCAGATTTGTCCACCTGACCTTTCCTGGTCTGGCGAAGCATTGTTTTGCAATAAGAATTGTTTAAACACTATGCACTGTTCACTGTGAAGTCTGGGCAGCCTTCTTCCAAACTGGGAGTGAAATATTTTGGTAATTCTTGTGAAGTCGGGTGCACTTGAAAAATACCTTCGCCTCTGGGTAAATTTCTTTTATCCTACTCACAGGCATTAATAATGCCATGTGCATGTGCTTGTATATAGTAACATCGTAGTTACTAAGACTAAACACTCTCGTCTAAAATATGTCTTCCGCAGCGTCGACTAAGGTACAGGCAATCGCCACCCCGTGACAGAATTCCCTGTATCAATGTTTTTGTGTTCCGATAGTAACCATTAGCAACAGTTGATTTAATCATAGCCTCGTGACCCACTGGTATGACTACACATTCTGTAATAGCCTCGCGAAGCTCACTCAAACTGGTCTATTTTCAAATTGACAGCTTTTAATAACTAAGTAACGGTTAGTACTCATAATGTGCGACCATTGTAGTCATCTCTGACAGAAAATTTGTACATAAATATGCCACATGTAGCGATGATTGAGTTCCTTTGTTGTAAACATGTGCATGCGCCCTTCAAAACCTTTAGGCCCCAACCCAAGTAGATCAGTATGGAACACGGAACGTTTTCGTCGCAGCGCTGACATATATGAAGGTATTGTCATGATAATGCTGTGCTTACAATTTGATTATATAATTGCAACCTGGCCACTGATTCCTGATATATTACTTAATTGGTATGTTACCTGTACATGTGCCAAATCAAACAGGTTTGACCAGGTGGTCCAACTAATAAATCTGTAACTGTAGTTTCAATCCACCATCCTCATTCTGATACATTAAAATTGCACTTCTGTCAATGTGGCCTACATACTTGCCTCTGCTTTGAATAAGGTCAAAAGAAAATATACTCATCCGGAGGTTTGAAAATATAGGAGGCCATAAAAAATCAAACATTTGAACCTGGAACTGAGTGAGGTCCCTCAAAAACCATTAAAACTTGTACAATCACCTTCCTATCCTTGCCAATAAAAATCATCGTGAAAAGAGGGGGAATACAGTTACTTTAAGCTATGTATGATGGATTATATTCTGATAGTAAGTTCCCTTATCCCTGTATATAACCATATTTATGTATGATGGATTAATTTCTGATAGTAAGTTCCCTTATCCCTGTATATAACCACATGTATGTATGATGGATTATATTCTGATAATAAGTTCCCTTATCCCTGTATATAACCACATTTATGTATGATGGATTATATTCTGATAATAAGTTCCCTTATCCCTGTATATAACCACATTTATGTATGATGGATTATATTCTGATAATAAGTTCCCTTATCCCTGTATATAACCACATTTATGTATGATGGATTATATTCTGATAATAAGTTCCCTTATCCCTGTATATAACCACATTTATGTATGATGGATTATATTCTGATAATAAGTTCCCTTATCCCTGTATATAACCACATTTATGTATGATGGATTATATTCTGATAATAAGTTCCCTTATCCCTGTATATAACCACATTTATGTATGATGGATTATATTCTGATAATAAGTTCCCTTATCCCTGTATATAACCACATTTATGTATGATGGATTATATTCTGATAATAAGTTCCCTTATCCCTGTATATAACCACATTTATGTATGATGGATTATATTCTGATAATAAGTTCCCTTATCCCTGTATATAACCACATTTATGTATGATGGATTATATTCTGATAATAAGTTCCCTTATCCCTGTATATAACCACATTTATGTATGATGGATTATATTCTGATAATAAGTTCCCTTATCCCTGTATATAACCACATTTATGTATGATGGATTATATTCTGATAATAAGTTCCCTTATCCCTGTATATAACCACATTTATGTATGATGGATTATATTCTGATAATAAGTTCCCTTATCCCTGTATATAACCACATTTATGTATGATGGATTATATTCTGATAATAAGTTCCCTTATCCCTGTATATAACCACATTTATGTATGATGGATTATATTCTGATAATAAGTTCCCTTATCCCTGTATATAACCACATTTATGTATGATGGATTATATTCTGATAATAAGTTCCCTTATCCCTGTATATAACCACATTTATGTATGATGGATTATATTCTGATAATAAGTTCCCTTATCCCTGTATATAACCACATTTATGTATGATGGATTATATTCTGATAATAAGTTCCCTTATCCCTGTATATAACCACATTTATGTATGATGGATTATATTCTGATAATAAGTTCCCTTATCCCTGTATATAACCACATTTATGTATGATGGATTATATTCTGATAATAAGTTCCCTTATCCCTGTATATAACCACATTTATGTATGATGGATTATATTCTGATAATAAGTTCCCTTATCCCTGTATATAACCACATTTATGTATGATGGATTATATTCTGATAATAAGTTCCCTTATCCCTGTATATAACCACATTTATGTATGATGGATTATATTCTGATAATAAGTTCCCTTATCCCTGTATATAACCACATTTATGTATGATGGATTATATTCTGATAATAAGTTCCCTTATCCCTGTATATAACCACATTTATGTATGATGGATTATATTCTGATAATAAGTTCCCTTATCCCTGTATATAACCACATTTATGTATGATGGATTATATTCTGATAATAAGTTCCCTTATCCCTGTATATAACCACATTTATGTATGATGGATTATATTCTGATAATAAGTTCCCTTATCCCTGTATATAACCACATTTATGTATGATGGATTATATTCTGATAATAAGTTCCCTTATCCCTGTATATAACCACATTTATGTATGATGGATTATATTCTGATAATAAGTTCCCTTATCCCTGTATATAACCACATTTATGTATGATGGATTATATTCTGATAATAAGTTCCCTTATCCCTGTATATAACCACATTTATGTATGATGGATTATATTCTGATAATAAGTTCCCTTATCCCTGTATATAACCACATTTATGTATGATGGATTATATTCTGATAATAAGTTCCCTTATCCCTGTATATAACCACATTTATGTATGATGGATTATATTCTGATAATAAGTTCCCTTATCCCTGTATATAACCACATTTATGTATGATGGATTATATTCTGATAATAAGTTCCCTTATCCCTGTATATAACCACATTTATGTATGATGGATTATATTCTGATAATAAGTTCCCTTATCCCTGTATATAACCACATTTATGTATGATGGATTATATTCTGATAATAAGTTCCCTTATCCCTGTATATAACCACATTTATGTATGATGGATTATATTCTGATAATAAGTTCCCTTATCCCTGTATATAACCACATTTATGTATGATGGATTATATTCTGATAATAAGTTCCCTTATCCCTGTATATAACCACATTTATGTATGATGGATTATATTCTGATAATAAGTTCCCTTATCCCTGTATATAACCACATTTATGTATGATGGATTATATTCTGATAATAAGTTCCCTTATCCCTGTATATAACCACATTTATGTATGATGGATTATATTCTGATAATAAGTTCCCTTATCCCTGTATATAACCACATTTATGTATGATGGATTATATTCTGATAATAAGTTCCCTTATCCCTGTATATAACCACATTTATGTATGATGGATTATATTCTGATAATAAGTTCCCTTATCCCTGTATATAACCACATTTATGTATGATGGATTATATTCTGATAATAAGTTCCCTTATCCCTGTATATAACCACATTTATGTATGATGGATTATATTCTGATAATAAGTTCCCTTATCCCTGTATATAACCACATTTATGTATGATGGATTATATTCTGATAATAAGTTCCCTTATCCCTGTATATAACCACATTTATGTATGATGGATTATATTCTGATAATAAGTTCCCTTATCCCTGTATATAACCACATTTATGTATGATGGATTATATTCTGATAATAAGTTCCCTTATCCCTGTATATAACCACATTTATGTATGATGGATTATATTCTGATAATAAGTTCCCTTATCCCTGTATATAACCACATTTATGTATGATGGATTATATTCTGATAATAAGTTCCCTTATCCCTGTATATAACCACATTTATGTATGATGGATTATATTCTGATAATAAGTTCCCTTATCCCTGTATATAACCACATTTATGTATGATGGATTATATTCTGATAATAAGTTCCCTTATCCCTGTATATAACCACATTTATGTATGATGGATTATATTCTGATAATAAGTTCCCTTATCCCTGTATATAACCACATTTATGTATGATGGATTATATTCTGATAATAAGTTCCCTTATCCCTGTATATAACCACATTTATGTATGATGGATTATATTCTGATAATAAGTTCCCTTATCCCTGTATATAACCACATTTATGTATGATGGATTATATTCTGATAATAAGTTCCCTTATCCCTGTATATAACCACATTTATGTATGATGGATTATATTCTGATAATAAGTTCCCTTATCCCTGTATATAACCACATTTATGTATGATGGATTATATTCTGATAATAAGTTCCCTTATCCCTGTATATAACCACATTTATGTATGATGGATTATATTCTGATAATAAGTTCCCTTATCCCTGTATATAACCACATTTATGTATGATGGATTATATTCTGATAATAAGTTCCCTTATCCCTGTATATAACCACATTTATGTATGATGGATTATATTCTGATAATAAGTTCCCTTATCCCTGTATATAACCACATTTATGTATGATGGATTATATTCTGATAATAAGTTCCCTTATCCCTGTATATAACCACATTTATGTATGATGGATTATATTCTGATAATAAGTTCCCTTATCCCTGTATATAACCACATTTATGTATGATGGATTATATTCTGATAATAAGTTCCCTTATCCCTGTATATAACCACATTTATGTATGATGGATTATATTCTGATAATAAGTTCCCTTATCCCTGTATATAACCACATTTATGTATGATGGATTATATTCTGATAATAAGTTCCCTTATCCCTGTATATAACCACATTTATGTATGATGGATTATATTCTGATAATAAGTTCCCTTATCCCTGTATATAACCACATTTATGTATGATGGATTATATTCTGATAATAAGTTCCCTTATCCCTGTATATAACCACATTTATGTATGATGGATTATATTCTGATAATAAGTTCCCTTATCCCTGTATATAACCACATTTATGTATGATGGATTATATTCTGATAATAAGTTCCCTTATCCCTGTATATAACCACATTTATGTATGATGGATTATATTCTGATAATAAGTTCCCTTATCCCTGTATATAACCACATTTATGTATGATGGATTATATTCTGATAATAAGTTCCCTTATCCCTGTATATAACCACATTTATGTATGATGGATTATATTCTGATAATAAGTTCCCTTATCCCTGTATATAACCACATTTATGTATGATGGATTATATTCTGATAATAAGTTCCCTTATCCCTGTATATAACCACATTTATGTATGATGGATTATATTCTGATAATAAGTTCCCTTATCCCTGTATATAACCACATTTATGTATGATGGATTATATTCTGATAATAAGTTCCCTTATCCCTGTATATAACCACATTTATGTATGATGGATTATATTCTGATAATAAGTTCCCTTATCCCTGTATATAACCACATTTATGTATGATGGATTATATTCTGATAATAAGTTCCCTTATCCCTGTATATAACCACATTTATGTATGATGGATTATATTCTGATAATAAGTTCCCTTATCCCTGTATATAACCACATTTATGTATGATGGATTATATTCTGATAATAAGTTCCCTTATCCCTGTATATAACCACATTTATGTATGATGGATTATATTCTGATAATAAGTTCCCTTATCCCTGTATATAACCACATTTATGTATGATGGATTATATTCTGATAATAAGTTCCCTTATCCCTGTATATAACCACATTTATGTATGATGGATTATATTCTGATAATAAGTTCCCTTATCCCTGTATATAACCACATTTATGTATGATGGATTATATTCTGATAATAAGTTCCCTTATCCCTGTATATAACCACATTTATGTATGATGGATTATATTCTGATAATAAGTTCCCTTATCCCTGTATATAACCACATTTATGTATGATGGATTATATTCTGATAATAAGTTCCCTTATCCCTGTATATAACCACATTTATGTATGATGGATTATATTCTGATAATAAGTTCCCTTATCCCTGTATATAACCACATTTATGTATGATGGATTATATTCTGATAATAAGTTCCCTTATCCCTGTATATAACCACATTTATGTATGATGGATTATATTCTGATAATAAGTTCCCTTATCCCTGTATATAACCACATTTATGTATGATGGATTATATTCTGATAATAAGTTCCCTTATCCCTGTATATAACCACATTTATGTATGATGGATTATATTCTGATAATAAGTTCCCTTATCCCTGTATATAACCACATTTATGTATGATGGATTATATTCTGATAATAAGTTCCCTTATCCCTGTATATAACCACATTTATGTATGATGGATTATATTCTGATAATAAGTTCCCTTATCCCTGTATATAACCACATTTATGTATGATGGATTATATTCTGATAATAAGTTCCCTTATCCCTGTATATAACCACATTTATGTATGATGGATTATATTCTGATAATAAGTTCCCTTATCCCTGTATATAACCACATTTATGTATGATGGATTATATTCTGATAATAAGTTCCCTTATCCCTGTATATAACCACATTTATGTATGATGGATTATATTCTGATAATAAGTTCCCTTATCCCTGTATATAACCACATTTATGTATGATGGATTATATTCTGATAATAAGTTCCCTTATCCCTGTATATAACCACATTTATGTATGATGGATTATATTCTGATAATAAGTTCCCTTATCCCTGTATATAACCACATTTATGTATGATGGATTATATTCTGATAATAAGTTCCCTTATCCCTGTATATAACCACATTTATGTATGATGGATTATATTCTGATAATAAGTTCCCTTATCCCTGTATATAACCACATTTATGTATGATGGATTATATTCTGATAATAAGTTCCCTTATCCCTGTATATAACCACATGTATGTATGATGGATTATATTCTGATAATAAGTTCCCTTATCCCTGTATATAACCACATTTATGTATGATGGATTATATTCTGATAGTAAGTTCCCTTACCAAGGTTCACCAGGAGTATTCTTTGTTCAGTCAATGTTGACTTCATCTCTGAAGCTCTGATAGAACATAAAATGTATTCGTATCTTATTGCCGAAATGCCATCCTGTATCAATGACTCGCCTGTTTGTCATGATTTTTGCTGATGTTGACTCAAATTGGTCAAACTACTTTTTATATTAGTGGCTGTAATTTTGTGTAATTCAAGTTGGATTGACAGTATTTCTTAAATTTGTCTGATCTTAAACCAGACATCACTGTGGTACTTCAGAACTCCTTTAATGACACCATATGATGTAACAAAGTTTGTTAATAGGTTACAGTAATATTTTGTAAATGTCCACAAACTTCCTCAACCTGAACGTTAAATGTTTTACCATTTTTCTGAAATGAATTGTATATAATTAAACATAACCATTTTTATTTGCAGCAGGAGGAAAACATTCGTAAGCACCATGCAGATATGGTACGTGAATTAAGTGAAATGTTTTCACTTAAATCAAAACCAGGGCATGTTATTTGCTCCAGAGATGGTCTGTCGAACCTGGTAACGGATAATGTAAAAGATATGTTTGATCTGTGCAGAGCCTTAATGAAGGAAGGAAAAATCATGTATGGAGAGTACAGTAAACTACGTGAAATTCTTGTTGAGTGTGGTGTGGAGGCAGGAGAGACCATTGACAAGTATACAAAGATGATACGTGGGGAAAGTGAAGGTAATGTTTATTGTATGTTATTATATATTCAATGATACTGTCTTGAAATGAATATAATATTGGGTTCCAGATTTTGTCTTGTTTCATGGTAAATAATTTTTATTTTACTTTCCAGAAGAATTTACCCCATCCAACAAAAGGTTATTACCCTTATTATTTTCAAATCACCCATTTTCTGTGCTCCGTCCGTCGGTCCTTTAACAATTCTTGTTAGTGCTATTTCTCAGAAAGAGAAACTGGAAGGATATTTTTCAAATTTAACATGTAGGTTCCCCATGTGAACATTTCTTAGCGCTTTTTGGTACTGATAAAAAACCAAGATGGCTCACAAGTGGCCATTTTGAATTTTGATAGTTAAAGTTTGCTAGGTCTTTTGCTCAGAAAGTACTTGAGGGATTCTTCTCAAATTTCACCTGAATGTTCCACATGGACCTTATTTATTCATATCCAATAGTTTAACTAATTGAAAACTAGAGATGGCCGACAGGCAGACATGTTGAATTTAAGAGTTCAAGTTTGTTACAGCTATTTCTCAGATTAAAGTACTAGAGGAATCCTTCTTTTCAATTTTACATGAAGGTCTCCCTTGGTCCTTTATTACCCATATATCGAATACTGAGACTGATCAGAAAACAAAGATGGCCCAAGGGCAGCCATGTTGACTAGAGGGATCTTACTCAAATTTCACATGTAGGTTCCTCGCGGCCAAAGGCCAGCCATCTTGAATTTTGAGAGTTAAAGGTTGCTTAGCACTTATTCTCAGAAACAACTTGAGAGATATTTCTCCAATTAATGCTCTCTTGTTCTTTTTATTTCACATAATATTTATAATTTCTTTTTAGGTTACCTGACCATAGGTCATGGTAACCTATTGTGATAGTCTTTTGTCCGTCGTCGTGCGTTAACTTTTCCTTGTGAACACGATAACTTGAGTAAATGTTAATCGAGTTTAATGAAACTTTGTGTGCAGCCATATATCAATAAGATCCCGGACGAGTTCGAAAATGGGAATTATTTGACTGTAACTTACAGTTATTGCCCTTTGTAATAATATTATCATTGGAACTTGTGAACACAATATTTTGAGTAAATGTTAACCGTGTTTGATGAAACTTTGTATGCAGCCATATATAAAAAAGATCTCGGACGAGTTTGAAAATAAGAATTATTCGTCGATAACTTACAGAGTAATTGCCCTTTGTTATAATATTATTATTGGACCTTTGTACGTAGCCATATATCAATAAGATCCCGGACGAGTTGGAAAATGGTAATTATTCGATTGTAACTTACAGAGTTATTGCCCTTTGTAATAATATTATTATTGGACCTTGTGAACACAATATTGTGAGTAAATGTTAACTGTGTTTGATGAAACTATGTATGCAGCAATATATCAATAAGATCCCTGACGAGATCGAAAATGGGAATTATTCGACAGTAACTTACAGAGTTATTGCCCTTTGTCTTATTATTATTATTGGACCTTGTGAACACGAGAACTTGAGTAAATGATAATCGAGTTTGATGAAACTTTATATGCAGCCATATATCAATAAGAACCCGGACGAGTTGGAAAATGGGAATTATTCGACAGTAACTTACAGAGTTATTGCCCTTTGTAATAATATAATTATTGGACCTTGTGAACACGAGAACTTTAGTAAATTATAACTGAGTTTGATGAAACTTTGTATGCAGCCATATATCAAAAAGATCCCTGACGAGTTCGAAAATGGGAATTATTCGACAGTAACTTACAGAGTTATTGCCCTTTGTAATAATATTATTATTGGACCTTGTAAACACGATAACTTGAATAAATGTTGACGGAGTTCAATGAAACTTTGTCCGGTAATTATTTTACGGTAACCTGCAGAGTTATGCCCTTTGTCATTATGTTATTATTTGTCCCTGTGATGTTGATTGACATTTATACACAAGAATAGATGTAAATTCATGTGGTACACCTTTTTTTTCATTCATGACACATTTTTGCTACTAACAAGGTGCTATTAAAATTTTGTCCTTTATTTAATAAATCATTGATTTACGCTTTTACTTGTTTCTTTTAACCAAGAACAGAAGACATACAGTTACCAAGTTTTTCAAAACAGACCCCTTGGGTCAAAATTGGAGTCACACCCATTTATTTCAGTTATCGTGTTCACAGGGTCCAACAATAATAGCATTACCAAGGGGAATAACTATGTAAGTTATGGTCAAATTGGTCCGGTATTCAAATTCATCCAAGATCTCATTGATACAAAGCTGCATACAAAGTTTCATCAAAATCGGTTTATATTTACTGAAGTTATTGTGTTCACAAGGAAAAATAAATGGACGATGCAGCAAGGTCACTCAGACCGACGAAAAGTATGAATTGGCCCCTGGATGGCAGTCCTAATTTGAATCGGATGTCAGGTGACCGTTAAGGCCCATGGGCCTCTCGTTTTTTTATTTAACACATGATGTGTTATAAGCTGACTCAATTTAGGTTAGAACCAAAGTACTCCCATCACAGTATTATTGCTCTGTGCAGTGCAAAGTAGTTCCAGGTTATAAAATGTTGCATAACCTCTTTCAACATCAGGTCCCTTACAATACGTGTTCCTTTGTTGTCAATTGAAAACGTGTCACCAATGTTTATCTGGTCAGCCATCTTATACTACAGTATACATGTAGTAATAAAAGTAGTTCCTGTGGTGGCATAGGAATGGGTTCCCCTGTTCTTTAGCTCACCTGCCAAAAGGGCAACTGAGCTTATGTTATGGTGCAGCATGCAGCGTCCGGCCGTCCGGCCGTCAACTTTTTCTTTAAACAACTTCTTCTGAAGAATGGACAGGCCTAGAGTCATGATATTTGGCTGAAAGCTTCGTTGGTAAGAGTCAAATAAAGATTGCGAATAGAAATGACCTTGGCCTACTTTCAAGGTCCCAGGAGTCAGATATGTCATACACATCAAACAACTTCTTCTGAATAATGGACAGGCCTAAAGTCATGATATTTGGCTGAAAGCTTCATTCGTAAGAGCCTGACAAAGTTTGCGAACGAAAATGACCTTGACCTTCGTTCAGGGTCAAATGTGTCAAACACTTAAAACAACTTGTGCTGAAGAACTGAAAAGTTATAGAGTCTTAATATTTAGCTGGTAGCTTCTTTTGGAAGAGCCCAACAAAGTTTGAGAACGAAAATGACCTTGACCTAATTTCAAGGTCATATGGGTCAAATATCTTAAAAAAATCAAACAACTTCTGAATAATGGACAGGCCTAGAGTCTTGATATTTGGCTGAAAGCTTCGTTGGTAAAATCCCAACAAAGTTTGCAAATGACCTTGACCTTCTTTCAAGGTCGGATTGGTCAAATATGTCTAACACTTCAAATGACTTCTGAAAAAATGAAAGGTATAGAATCTTAATATTTGGCTGGTATCTCTTTTGGATTGAGGTCGAAGAGGTTTGCAAATGAAAATGACCTTGAACTACTAGGTCATGGGGGTCAAATATGTCAAAAACATCAAAGGACTTCTGAACAAACGAAAGGCATAGAATCATAATATTTTATTTGGCTGGTGGCTTCCTGGGATAGAGCTCATTAAAGCATATGAATGAAAAGGACTTCAACCTACTTTAAATGTCACAGAGGTCAACAGCACTTCAA